CCCACACCCAGTGACCTGAAGACCTCCCGCCAGCCTCTCCCCTCCCGACAGCACCATGGGCCCAGGATCATGCCTTAGACACACAGCTGTTTAACTCTAGCAGCAGCACCCCTCGTCCGAGCACCTTCGGGTTCCATGGACCACGCTGAGCCCCTCTGTTATAACCCAGTGGGGTGGACACGGATGTTGCTCCCATTTACAAATAAGGAAATGGAAGCCCTGTAAGGGAAGGTCACTGGCCAAGGTCACAGGGCAAATCCAAGATTGTTGGGTGTTGAGCTCCGCCTGCTGGGCCAGAATCAACAACCCAGGCTCCACAAATCTCATTTTCTCACTGCTGTCTTGAGCACATCAGGTTCCTCAGACAGTGCCCAGCACCACACCGCAGGCATTCAAATGGGGGAAAGGGAAAGAGGCTGAGAGGGGGGAAGGAGGGAAGTGGTGTAACTGAAACCTGGCTTGTTGTCAGGATCACCGGCACTCCCAGGAGGAAGAGGAAATCACCAGCCGCCTCCTCCGCAAGGCAGGTAGGAGAAGAGGATCAATCGATTTTGCTGAAGGGGCAGGAGAACTGCAGTACAGGTCAAGGGTTCCAGGTCGACTCTTGTTCCCGTCGGAATGAGCTTCTGCAGAAAATTTCCACAGCTGTACCTTTACCTACCCACGTGTTTCTGATGGTCCCGCAGGTCCGGGGGAGCAAGGACCCGCTGTCTGCTTGTGATAGGGCACAGTCGTATCTGACACCAGTGCTGGTCTCCCCCTGCAGCCCCACCCCAGCTGCGACAGCTCTGGGCCACCGGGGAGGTGCCAAGAGGAACACAGTGATACGGGTGGAGGAGGGATAGCTGCATCCGTGTACAGACATTTTCAAGCATGGCTTCAAGGTCCATGTCACCTGGGACCTGCTGGCTCCGGGACCAGAAGAAACCTCTGGGAAAGCTGGTTGTGCCACTCGGGGTGAGATCAGTTGGTAGAAAACGAGGCCAGGCTCCCCAGATCTCTGATTTACAAACTTAGTGCAGAAGCCATTGGCAGGTGGGTAGACTGGGGGACAGCAGGTACAGCCCTAGCAGACTCATGGGGTGTTGTCACACCTGCCCTTCAACGTTACAATGCACAGCACCCTTGAACCCAGAAATACGTCTCCAAAGAAGTGGTGGTTTGGGTCCACTCACTCTAATGCCAGGGTGACCCTCCGACACTGCCGGTGGGGAGCTAAGTGCAGCCTCGTTGGAAAGCAGCCTTGCAACTCCTAAAACAATTACACAACCCAGCTGGGCATGGTGGACACGCCTATCATCCCAATACTCTGGAGGCTGAGGCAGGAGGATCGCTGCAAGTTCAAGACCACCCTAGGGGATATAGTGAGTTCAAGGAAAGCCTGAACTATGGAGCAAGACCTTGTCTCAAGGCCAGGCGTGGTGGCACACACCTGGAATCCCAGCACTTGAGGCTGAGGCAGGAGGATTTCTGTGACTTTGAGGCTCACCTATGCTACAAAAATGAGTTCAAGGCCAGCCTGAACCCTGTCTCAAGAAGACCTTGACTGAAACTGTCCTACCAATTGGTTTGAAACTGTCTCATTGCTATTTGTTTCTCAATAAAATTATGGAAATAAAAAATAAAAGTAAAATAAAGTAGAGACTTAAAATTCAACATATCAATAGTTGATGAAAAATACCTCTTCCATGTTATGCCTAAGAATATCAATTCAGACAGATAGTGAGGTTAAGCTTAACAGCCTAGGTTGTATGGTAATAACAATAAGCTTGTCTTCTGGATGGTTAACAACTTAAGTTTGCAGACCAAAATTAGAGAAAAAGGAGGGCCGCAAGGAACATTTTGGCCCTAGCCTTCCAAGGTCAATTAAGACTCAGGACATATGAGAATTTGTACTGTAACATCTCATAACCCAGTAGTGTCCCAAATTTTCTGATCAAGGAGATTATGGGGCCAAAGAGGAAAGTGATCGATGATGAGGAGTGTGCCTAAGGAGAGGCACATGGAGAGAAAACATTCTCTCAGGCTCTCACAGAGAGCACATTGGCCAAGCAATGGCCATGACTCATCCACATGGCTGACACTGACAAAGGTTCTACAATCTGAGGAACAGGATCTCAGGATAAATCCTGAGGGGATTTCACTGACCTTCTCAGACCCAAAAGCTACAACTCTTGTTGCATAGGTCCTGCTGTACCTTGGTCTTAACCATCCAGCAGAAAAAGTATAAAAACGAAGTATAAGAAGTAAAGCCATTGTGTTATGTTGAGCTGTGGGGGACTCAGGTCAACAATTTCTGACATTGCCAGTTAAGCAGAAGACCCAATACTATTATGGACTACTGGACTCTTTTAGAATATTTTGCTGAGTTAACACACCTATAATATTCATATAACGGAACTTAACAAAAAAAAGTGTACACAGATGAATGTCCATTTTGTATCTGTGTATTCAAAGTGGTTAGGATAGATATATAGTTACATTCTCTTAATGAATAGAAGGATTTGTTCTAATGGTGTTTGTAAATAGGATCTCAAGTCCGCATCTTGTACAGCAATTACCCACTAGGAAGAATGTATGCAATGTGTTAATTATTGAAACTGTCCTAGCAATTTGGTTTGAAAGTGTCTCATTGCTATTTGTTTCTCAATAAAATTATGGGGGGGGGAAGAAAAAAGAAGACCTTGAAGGAAAAAAAAAAGAAGACCTTGCCTCAAAATAAATAAATAAATGAATACACTCATGCACACAGGCAGTGATTCACAGAGTTAAGCACAGGAGCCAGCAATGTCGTGCCTAGGCATGCACCCAAAAGAAACAAAAACAAAGATGTGGGATAAACATGGTCCAACTCCCTACATTGCATGTAATCATTATATACTGCAAACATGTACTAATAAAAATTTACAAATTAAACAGAAAATAAAGGCATGCATGCACTCAGAAGCTTACCACAAATATTCACACCAGCACTGCTCATATGAGCCAAAAGGTAGAACCGACCAGGTGACCACGAACAGAGAAGTGGACAAATTATGGAATACTCTGACACTGTGGTATTATCGAGGAATTTTCAGATGCATAGGCATGCATAGACTTGCTCCAATACATGCTACAAAGTAGGTAACCCTTGGAAACATTATGCTATGGGGGGAAAAATCACAAAAAGTCATGCAGCGGGCTGGCGAGATGGCTCAGTGGCATAAGCACCTGCCTGGCAAGCACAGGGTCCTGAGTTTGAGCCCAGGTGGCCCCCAGAAGAAAAAATGTAAATGTTTCTTTTGGGGGGCCTGGCCTTAGCTCAGTTGTTTAAGTGGCTGCTTCCACAAAGCTGTCAGCCTCAGGTTGCTGTAGTTCGATCCCCACAACACTCCAGCCAGCCAAACCACCCCTGAGGGCATTCAGATCAAAAAAAAAAAAAAAAAGGGGGGCTGGTGAGATGGCTCAGTGGTCTAAAGCACCTACTTAGAACAAGCTTAGCAAAGCACAGGGACCGCGGTTCAATCCCCCAGCACCACATGCCAGCCAGCCCTGCCCCCTGGTGGGCTGAGCTGGCCACACACACAAATAAATAAATAAATAATTTTAAAAAAAAAAGTCATGCAATCTAGGATTCCATTTATATGAAATAACCAGAAGAGGGATTTTTTTTTTTTTTTTTTTTTCAGGGGAGGTCTTTTCAAGACAGGGTCTTACTATGCAGTTCAGGCTGGCCTTGAGCTCACTTTATAACTCAGTCTGGTCTCTAACTCACAACAATCTTCCTGCTTTAGCCCCCTGAGTGCTGGGATTACAGGTGTGCACCACCACACCCAGCTTGACAGAACAGGGGAAATCTATAGAAACAGAAAGCAGATAAATTATTGCTTTGGGCTGGGGACAGAGCTTGGGAGGACAGAGGGCTCAAAGGTGCTTCGGGGTCTCTTCTTGAAGCAATGAAACTGCTCTAAAGCTGAATGTGGTGGCGCATGCGTATTCCACTAAGCCACTGCACTGACCTTTCAAAAGGTCAGCTGCACGGTCCGTCACTTACACCTCAATGAAACAGCTATTTTTAAAAGGAAATGGAAGCACAGTTAGTGTAGCTAAGGACCCAGCCTGGAACAGTAGAAAAAGTCCACCTCTGAGTTAGGCTCTTGCTCTGTGGCCAGGCACTGGGACCAGGAAGGAATGTGGCTGGGCGATCACACCGATAAGGAGCCTCCTGCAAGGTAATCATTAAGTGAACAGAGAAATCAAGGTGCAGAGAAGAGCTTTGCAGGGGCTTCCCTGTGAGCTGCGCACGCACACACACGCGCGCACACACACACACACGTACACACAGTATTTCTGCAAGACAAAAGGAACTGGCAAAAAGCTCATCTCAGAGGCAGGAATGAGGAGCTGGAGAGACAGACATGTGTTTACAACTTGTTCATTGCCTTGACCACCCAGAGCACATTTTAATTTTTCAACTGTAGACTAGTTAATCAAAAACACAAATTAAAGTCTATGCATCTGAAAATTCCTTACATGCTCCTACTGTATTTGTTAAAAAGTCTCAAAAACCTCAGAAGCGGAGCCAACTGCCCGAGGGAGAGAGACAAGGGGAGAAAGGAGTGGCACTAGCATCTAGGACTGGGACCCAAACTTGATTTGAAAGCCACAGCTCAGAGGCAGCTCTCTGCACTTGGACACCAAAATGAAGCCCTGTTGCCACCGTAGTCCGTGGAGAAACAGCCATATTTAGTTACCATTAGCCCTTAGCAGGGCAGACAACGGGTGACCGAGATCAGCGGACCACAGGGTTCCTGGTCCTCCCAGATTATTCCCTCCACACTGGCATACTGGAAGGGACACACTATAACCCCTTTTGCTACTAGGCAGAGGGACCAGCCCAGCCCTCTGATTGTCTGGAGCATCCTAAGGAACCAACGCATGCTGCTACAACTGCAACCGCCAGCGTCGGCAAGAGGCAATGGTGCTGGGGGCTGCAGACACCCAGCACTGCTGATACTCACAGAAGCCCTCGATCTTGTCCGCAGTCTTGCTCCAGGCCACCTGCCGCGTCTCCATGATCACCTGGACAGTCCTGCGCTCAGGGGTGGACTTGCGGAAGCTGAACACCGTCATGACCGTCCCCAGCTCCAGGGCTCGTTTGATCTGACTCTTCTCATATTCTGGAAGGGCATCCACGTTGATCACGGCAGTCATTGTCGGCCACCGCAGGGAGGAGCAAGGAGGCAGGAGGAATGAACAGGAGGCTGCAAGAACAGAAGAGGAGAGTGGGTTGGTTTGCAGCAGTTTAGAGGGGTTAGTTAATTGGACGAGGATGTCAGGAACCCAGATCCTGTCTCCTACCCAGCAGAATGAGTTTTAGAGGAATCCAACAGGACACAGGGGTTTAAATGAGGTCCAGACGGGGGAGGAGCCCCGGGCCTCGATGACCCTACCGTTAGGCCAGCTTTGAATAACAAAATCACCACAGCCTTGGGGGGACCTGTCTCCCTGAATAATATTTGAATAGCCAAAGTAGCCTGGGCCTCGCCTCCCCAGTGCCAGTGTCCATCTCTAGCCTGCTTGTCTAACCGTTGCTCTGCTTCCAGGCTGAAGAAAGCAAAAGGAAACACTCTCAGAATGGGTCTGTGGAACAGCTAATTGCTCTGGACCAACATGAGGCCAAAAGGGCAGAAAAGGTCAAGGCCCAGCCGTCTCAAGTTCAAGTCCTGGTGTGGGTCCCTGTGGACGGTGGCCCTAGGTGGGCAGCCTGGCCTCTGCGTTGCCAGCTCCTCCCAGGGGCTCTGCTCTCTGGTCTCCCCCCTTCAGCCTGATTCTGTTCCATTCTCCGACCAGAGATTGTTTGAGAACACAAACAAACTTTGCCACCTTCCTGCTCAAGACCCTGCTGCAGTGCCCTGAGCCTTACACCTCTCCCCAGTCCTATCCCTGCTCACAGCACCTACCCCGAGGTGGCAGCAAGAACAAAGGGCTCCACAAGTCCTGCAGTGCAGCTGCCACAGCGACCTCGCCAGCCAGGTGCAGCCACTACAAAGAGTCACTTGGGCCAAGTATGGTGGTGTACACCTGTTATCCCAGTACTCAGGAGGCTGAGGCAGGAGGATTGTTGTAAGCTTAAGACCAGCCTGGGCTACAAAGTGAACTCAAGGCCAGCCTGAGCTACATAGCAAGACCCTGTCTCAAAAAAGAAAAAAAATTTCAAAATCCTAAACAAATAAAACAGTCATCCAAACCCTCCAGCCCTCTTTCCACTCAGACGAAAACAAGGTTACCAAGTCCTGAAGCTCTTCTGAAGATTAAGCAGGATAGTAAAACTCAGGCCTTGACACACTGATACGCAGCTGGGCACTCCTCAGATTGACCCATCCTATCATAAGTACTACCAAGGTGCCCCTTACTCTGCACCCCTCAAGGTTACAAAGTAGTCCTCAAAGGGGTTTCCCCTGCACAGACTAGGAGGCCTCCAGCCTGGCAGCCTCACCTAAGTTGTTCAAAATCTGGGCCTGAGTTTCCTCTCCTTCAAAACAGGAGCATAGTGCCCTCCTGGGTAGCAGGGAAGGACTAACAGCTACCGTGTATATCACCCTACCCCAGTCCTGCCTCAGCAGGGCCTCCCTGACACTGCCGGCAGCTGCTGTGGGCACTAACCCAGTGTCAACTCTGCCAGGCCAAGCTGGGGGCTCCAATGCAAATGAGGGGCAACAAAGGGGCAGGAGAGAGGCAGGCCATGCCCCTGCCCTTCCTTCCTCCTCCTGGAAGGCTGGCGAAGGGTGGGTGTGAACATCGTTAATGACACCTGCTCTGCCTGCTGGGACGCTGACCTGACAGTCACGGGGCTGAGACCGAGGCAGCAGCTCGGGCCCACGGAACAGTGCGGCCACCTTGCAATGGGCCTGAGAGGGTCCTGAGCTCAGGGCCTCGGTGGGAGCTTCCAGGAAAAGGTGGCGGAGATTCAGAGCCCAGTCTGTAAAGAGGCTGGAGGGAACGGGAAGACGGGCAGGGTGTGTGCAGCCTGCAGCTGAGTGTGAAGGTGTCGGCGGGGGACCCTGACAGGATCTGGCCAGGTCAGTCTCACCCAGGATGCTGGGAAGGAGGCTGCACCCTGATCCGCTCTTTCTAGGAAGCGGCTCTTCGGCAGGTTCCACCGGGATGCCGAGCTCATTAACTCAATGAGAAAGGCCGGTGCGGAAAGTAAAGTTCTGACAGGTGAACTTACTGGATCAAAGTCATGCAGACCTGGGGCTTGGTCTCAGCCCCTGCAAACACACTTGGGTAGCCCCGCCCCCTCCAACAGACAGCCAGGAAGTGGCAGAACTGGGATCTGAACCTGGTCTGGACTTGAGCGCTGTGCACTGTAGTGGCTGCCCCAGCCACTTGTCACTCACACCCCCGTCCCGGCGCCCAGGGCAGCCCAAGCAGCAGCCACTACACAACACCTTCCTCGCGACACCTACTTTGAAACAAAAACCTGGAGCAGGTCCTCGTGCTCTCCAACTGGCTCGGGACTCTGGGGTCCACCACCCACCCCCAAGGGGCTCCCACTTCACTGTCCACAGTGTGAAGCTCAGCCTCGAGGCCCCAAGACCAGGGCAGGGCGCCAGCCATCACAGCACCTCCAGATCACTTCCTCTTTTTTCTTAAGAAATGAAATAGCCTCCAAATTCCTTTTTTGTCTGTTTCTCCTCCCCAACGGGTAACTTTATAAAATGACTTGTGGTGTAAATACAACCACAGCTGGGGTGTAAGGAGCAACTTTATCATTTTTACATTTCACGGCCTTCACTTTGAAATAAACTTTATACAAAGAACTCCAAACCAGGAAATAGGGAAGATTTCTCCTCGGGAGTCCTCTGCAACATTCAGAGCAGAAGAGGGCACAGTTCTGTTAAAACTCAGCAGAGCAGAACTCTGAATGGTGACCCCCAACACACAGCCACCGTATCCTACTCCCCAGCACTACGCACATTTTCACTGAAGGGAACCAGCAGTGTAGACAGGAAGAAACACAAAGTGGTTTGAGTTTGCTTGGAAACCACCCTTGAGCACCTTTTAAAATGTACAACCCCCTGAGATGTGCATGCCTACAATCCCAGCACTCAGGAGGCTGAGGCAGGAGGCCCACAGTGAGTTCCAGACCAGCCTGCGCCACAGAGTGCATTCAAAGCCAGTCTGAAATACAAAGTGAGACCCTGTCTCAAAAAAAGAAAGAAAGAGAGAGAGGCTGGGGTTTTAGCTCAGAGGCACAGGGCCTGCCTGGCAAGTGTGAGGTCCTGAGTTGTTTCCCAGTACCCAAAAAACAGACAGAAAAAGGACAAAAATGTAAACGGTGCATCTGCTTTGATCCAGCAAGCACAAGGGGCCATCCACAAAACTGTTCATATAAGCTTTATTTGTAACATAAAAATCAGCCTACCACTGGGTGGGGAGGGGCGCTTAAATAAACAAGAGGACATGAACATTAA